TAAAATAGCAAAAGCACTGTACAAAAGTAGTTAACATTAGCCTAAAACTAAACATAGCAAATGGTTTGCTAAAAACTGAAGACAAAAAACATTTGCTAAAAAATTAAAAGTAGCTCAACTATAGCTATAAATTTAAAATTAGCAACAAAAATAGCTAAAAGCTACAAGTAGTGAATGGATAGCTACAAACTAAAAGCAACAAAGGGCTAGTGTAAAGTTAAGGATAGTGGCTAAATGTAGAAGAACAGTAGCTAAAAGTTAAAAGTAACAAAATGCTAGCTAAAATCTTAAAATTAGCAGAAAACAAAGCAGATCAATTATGCAGAAAATGTCAAAGATAACTGAGCATGAACTTTGATTTCGTGAACCACTTTGGCTGTGGATGCCTGGGAGGAGTCAACGAGGGAGAGGACGGCCCCCAGAAACCATCTTATCACCAGCAAACTGGTTGGTCCACGGTAGGAGTGTACTGCTTAGTGGGGAAAACAGATGGTTTGTGACTCCTCAGACTGATGAAGCGCTTCAGATGAAGGATGACACGTCTCTCAACAACACAAAAAAGAAACCGTCCAGACAACCTGATTAAACGTTGTTGGATTTTTTTTTACTACTGAGCATGAACCTTGCTGTCAAAGAGAACAATATTTAAATGTTTAAATAAAGTAAAATATTTTGAAAGTTGTAAAAATTTGAAAAACTGTAAGTCCTATGACCCTTTACCAGAATGAGCTGCATGTTTTAATATATGAATGGCTAAAAAAAACCAAAATAATAATAATAATGTCATCACAATGTCAGCACTGTATGTTTCCATACAATGGTGAAATTAGTCTCTGCATTTAACCCATCCACCACCAGGTGGTGCAGTGGGCAGCTATTGAAAGTGCCGGGGGGCATTTTGGGGATGAGGCGCGCTGCCCAGAGACGCCATGTGATGTGCAGTGACTGGGGATCGAACCTGGGACTTTCGGGTCCCAAGCCGGCTGCCCTGCCTCTACACCATCTCGGCCCCCATAAATAAGCAGAAGTTGTTAGATTGCAAATAATGAATGGGAAATTAGAAAAAGAAAAAACAACGGTGGGAGTTCTCAATGAGCATTCACACAATAAATAAAAAAGCAAGCCGTGATGCAAAACAAATATCTCTACTATTTTAGAAATGATTTATCGTTTATGTTGAATAATCTACTGGGTGTTATAGCAGCTGGATAAAGATGTCATATGACAACAGAATTTGGACAGTATGGAAGAATGTACTGATGGCTATAAGAGATATTTTCCCTCCAAAATAATGGAAGTGTTGCTTTATTTGACGGCAGACTGGTATTTTAGTGAGATGTCAATCTTTGCAAAGCATACCCAAAATACAAATCCTCTGGTAACAGCAAAAATGCCCACAAACCCACACACTAAGGAACTAGTCTGTCAGATATGTCAGAGTGAGAGACATTCAGTGGCATTCTGAAGGAAAAGGCTGTTTGGTTGACTTTAGAAAGCTCTGTACTGTAGACGCGACTTTTCTACAGCCTTGTTACTTTTGCACAGCCTCTCGTAAAGGGCAGCCGGCTCATCCTTTTGATGACTGACAGTGGGATTTGCAGTGATAATGTCTTCAGGTGCCAGAGGATTGGGATTAAACATACTCCAATTTAAACAGCAAAGTTGCCATGGCGATGACCTTCCGCTTTTAGCTCAGATGACGAACGTGCGGGGTATGGCGGCTGGCTTTATTGGCCGGAGATGCTCCGGTTCAGAGGAGGGCCTTTGCCATGATTGTACTTTCAAATCCTCCATCAAATTTGAAACTCTGTCCTCACAAATGTTCGTCGGTGGAAAGTGGGGATGACATTTCAGCTACAGCCGTGCAGCAAAGAATCCTGGCAGAGCAAAAGCACTCCCGCTTCCAGTCTGGTAAAGTGAATCATGAGCTGAACTATAAACCCCAAAACACTTTAGATGCTGGAAAATCCTGTGACCCACCAATCCTAGGACTATTGCAATGGTTTGTTATCTGGGTGTCCAAAAACTTCTTTAAAAAGTCTTCAATTGATCCAAAATGTTGTTGCCAGAGTTTTATTGGGAGTTACTAGGAGAGATCATATCTCTCCAGTTTTAGCTTCTCTCCACTGACTCCCTAATTCAGAATAGAATTCATTCTAACCTACAAAGCTCTCAACAACCTAGCTCCATCTTATATTCGAGATCTTATTGTTCCATATTTTCACAACAGAGCACTTTGCTCTCAGACTGCAGGCTTACTCGTGGTCCTTAGAGTTTCCAAAAGCAGAATGGGAGGAAGATCTTTCAGTTCTCAGGCTCCTCTCTTGTGGAAACAACTTCCAGTTTCTGTCCATGAGGCCGACGCATTGTCCAGTTTACAGACTGGGCTTAAGTCTTTCCTTTGTTGATAAATCCTATAGTTAGGGTTGGCTTGGGTTTCTTAGTTATCCTGCTATAAAATTTGATTACTGGAGGACAAACTGCCCTCATTTCATCAAATGAATAATCACAAATGAATGCAAATAAATAATTTGTGTTTGTAATTATTTTTTATTTTAACTTTTTTTTTTGTTGTCTTTCTTCCTAGAGAGGACCTGCTCCCACCATCCTGGACCTACCTGCCGTTCTGTGTCCGTTTCTTCTTCCTTTCCTCTCAAACCCGAGCCGGTCGAAGCAGATGGCCGCTTGTCCTGAACCTGGTTCTGCTGGAGGTTTCTTCCTGTTAAAAGGGAGTTGTTCCTTTCCACTGTCGCCTTTGTGCTTGCTCAGGATGAGCGACTGTGACGAAGTGAAGACTTGATGCAATCTGCTGGCTTCCCTCCTTCCTTAGATATAGATAACTTTACTTATTGGCCTTTACAATGTTTGTGAATGTTTCTGTTCAGTGCCCTGAGACAACTTCTGTTGTGACTTGGAGCTATTTAAATAAACTGAACTGAAGTGTGACAAGAGCTTCATCTCTCATTCTACTTACAATTAAAAGTGGACGAGTCTTTTCAAATAAAACTGATGAGGTTTGACGCGGAGCTGCGGATCCAGAGCCTGGACTTGAACGGGCCAGAGATTCACAGCTTGAGGTCAGTGCGTGTCCCTCTCAAGGGCAATGCATTCACACTCTCACATCTGCCTGTCAAAGGAGAGCTGCAGGACAGGACAGGAGGACGAGAGAAAACGCAAAGTCCTGCAAAGGCAAGAGGCGGGAATGAAAGCATCCCTGTGTTTTTAAATAAAGGACAAATCCCAGCAGAAAGAAATGAAAGTGCATAATTATTATTATTATTGACTGAAGCCAATCTCTGCAGTGCCCATGAGGCGCAGGCGGTCGATATGAATTGTAAAAATTGGAGTTATGTTCTGGGAGAAGTGGAGTGTAGCTAGACTGCCTCACAGTGGAGGCTGGGAGAACTGGGCGAGCAGACATGGGGAAAGAGATTGTTCAACATTCGAGCCACATATGGACCATTTGAAGTCAAACTCTTTGTTCACATTCAGAAAATAAACATCATTTATACTCATATTACTGTTTATTTTTTATGTACCGCATATCAGTACAAGTTCAGTTTAAATGTACATCCAAATCTTTTTAAAGTAGGTTTCTGAGAAAGTGATATCTTACCTGCTGTAGAAAGCTTTTTGAAGAACCTCAATTTGGAAAAAAAATTTAAATCTGAGCAGGGCTGAGACCAAAGTTGTTCGTTGCCGTCTGAAAACAACTCCAAACTCACAATTTTTATATTTATTTATGCAATAAACCTTAACACTGCTGTCAGTTTCATATTACATAATTATATGAGCAGAAAAATATGTGAAATTAATGCTGGACATTCCCCAAGCTACATGCACTTCTACAGGTAATGCTTGCAAAATAAAATAAATTAATAAATCATTTACAAACTGAATTCTTTGTAAATAACCATGCAGTGAAAAACTGGCGATGATGTAAAGATTAATGAGTTTGTATTAACTGTTATGATTTCTTTATTTATTTTTAATTTTACCAGTCATTTTTTTAGATGACAGCAATCCATTTGTAGGACAGCAGGCATTTATTTACATACAATTATGATAAATTTTTTTTTTTTTTTTTTACAAACAATAACTTCACATATCTTTACACTACTATTTTTATATAATACCTCATAATTAACTTGGACTTGCTCTTATGAGCAAGATGACAAATTGAAATATGCATGCAGACAGTAGGAGGTTATTTATTTAATGCGCATCAAAACATAAATTTCTGAATGAGAAAACGCTGCATAAATTATACAATAAATAATCTTTACTATGCACAGACACTACGCAGCCTCTTCACGCCATCCATCCTGCAACGGTCAGATTCTGTTGAAAGGGGCAGCTGCTCTTTAAACACAGTGATTTAGCTTCATCTGAGTGACGCACCTGTCCACAGGTGTGTAAAAGGTTTATGCAAATTTACAGGACATGAGAGGTTTCTCCTCACTTCCTTCTAAAACACACATCCTTGGGTGGTGATTGGCAGGTGACAGGCTAAAGACATAACAGAGCAGCTTTTTGCCACACGTTAATCAAATCTGCTTCAGCACAGGTTCTGTTAAAATATATGGATGCGCTGATGCAGGAGGACATCTGACAAGTTAAACTGGGTGGTAAGCAGCAAATCAGTCTAACAGATCATTTTAAACCGAAATATAATCTGGAAAAATATAAACCTTTTCTAACTTATCATTCAGCGGTTTTTACTTGAGCTTAGAAATATTTTTAAAATGCATCCTGTTCAGTCTTATTTGTTTTAATTGAACATATTCAAGAAGTCGTAATGTTACAGCTGAAACTTCAAAACTCTGATTTATGCCGCACGTCCCTAAAACCGTTTACGTTTGGATAAATAAGGTGTGCACAGTCCTGTGACGTGGCGCCTGCAGGGTGAACAGAGGCCGGTGTTTCTGGCGTACCAGTTGGCTTCTGTGCGTGGTGAATGGACTCGCGGGCTTGATTGGGTTCTCAGGTGTCTGTGAAGATCAGTGCAACAACATGAGCAGAAGAAGCAGCCAAAAGTTGAGTCCAGGCAGCCGAGAGGCGGCGCCTTTCACGTTGCAGTCGTCGCTGTAGCAGCAGTGAACTTTGACCCCTGGTGCTCTGTAGCCATGACTGCTGGCCTGGTTACAGAAAGCCTTGTAGGAACATGACTTCATCACGCCACCTGAAAACAGGCAGAAACAAATGCCAGTTAGCTTCATTTAGCAAGTGTCTTACATGAGATAGTCAGTAGAATAAAAGTTAAAGACTTGTTGCAGAAACAAGGCTCGTTGCTGTTGACAACACAATTTAATAAAAAGTAGTTTGGATCTTCTGAAGCGGGGTTCTGTGAAGCCATTACAGTTCAGTTCTGATGCCAAGATTCAAGTGAGTTGCTGCCATCCAAAAAAAAAAAAAAAAACTCTTCAGTCCTTTAAAAATGTGCTATTTATTTTTTTTAATCTTTATATCATCGTCACTTTCACATTATATGGGTATCCCAGCAGAAATGTGATATTCCTGATCCAGCTGCACAAAAATATACTACAACAAACTGCTCCGAGTGTTTGCAAATATTCATAAATTTTAATTTAAACAAAGCTCTAATGCAAAAATGAAGGTGGTGTGAAGGTTTCATTTGCGTTTTAAAATGGTGGTAATCCACTTTGGTGTTTGCCTCGCTTGGAGTAGCCACTCACTCGTTAATCCATGAAACGCTTCCTCAAACTAAAGCCATTCAGAGAGCTGTCTACAACAGGTAGGATATTAACTATCAAATTAACCTGACTGAAAAATGTTGGATTGTATACTTGGATTATTGAGTATGGACTTTGTTGTTATCAAATTAACTTTTTTCAAATCCTGTAATTTTTAATAAGCAACATGCTGAATTTTGTTCAAATTGAATTTGTGAATTATGAGAGCCCCAGCTAAACAAAGGTACATATTAAGCGCTGATTATCATTTGGTAAATGTGTGTTCATGACCACATGGTGTCCTAATTAAGAGTATTTGCTGAGTAGGAGTGCAAAGCTTTTTGTTTCCTGAAAACCCCTCCGACCCCCCGCTGACTGAGATGTTTCTCCAGACGATAATCCGTCTGCTGTTAATGCACAAAGAAACACTCACACGAGCAGATAATTCAATTCAGTTCAATTCAAAATTACTTTATTAATCCCAAAGGGAAATTAATTGTTGTAGCTCATCGTCCGGGTTTCAGTTATAGATACTGGTGGCTGTGGGCAGGAAGGATCTCTTGTAGCAGTCTGTCCCACAGCAGACCCAGAGAAACTGGTTGCTGATGCCGATCTGTCCACCCAGACCCAGACCCATCTGCGGCACCTCCTTTTCAACTCATTGGGGATTTGGGGCTGTATTGGAGGTATTACTTGAGCTTTTGAGATGTTACCCTGCAGATCCCAGTTGTGAAAAAACATCTTGTTGTCATGGTTACGCACCATAACAAATGTCCAAAAGTTAAAAAAAAAAAAAAAAAAAAAAGGTTTCAGTAAAAATCTTTCCACCTGCACAGCATCCGATACCAGAGGAAGTAATCGTCTGAAAAAAAGCGATTTACATCCAGAAAAAAGAGGAATTAAAGTTTTCTAACGCAATAACTCAGAATGAATAAGAGAGCTGCTCCAGCAGACACCCCGAGCGGCGCAATTCTAGAACCGATTCTAGAACAATTAAAGCTTTTAACGTTGGACTCACTGTCATGGCCCACCACCACAGCGCAGGCGTCAGAGTAGCTTGGGCAGGACTTGGAGCCTTGGCGGTTGCAGTCGTCGTTATTGGAGCCCATGCAGGTGTAACACCTCAGAGCCTCACCTGAACAGCAAAACAACACAGAACATGTGTTTACACTGATTAAATGGTTACATTCAAAGAGGAATATCCTAACAAGGCTCACTGCAAAGTCACCAAGAGTAATAAACTTAATTTGCACAGTGTTTTTCTCACGTTAATGCGTATTTAAATTTAAAGAAAATGTGAGTAAACTTTGTGACTGAGTGTCAGCTTCAATGTGCGTTTGTTTATCTATTGAAAACAGGTCAAATGTCAAACTTGTTGATAAAGTAGAAGTTTTGCAAAAGCCTGCAAACATTTCTAATCTTGACAGTTGCCTTAATCAATGTTCCTCTTTTCGTTCAAGTTTAGCACCAGATTCACTTCTATACTTCCACCCAACTGAAGCAGGTTTGTTTAATGTGGCTCATTCAAAAGACTGAAGCTTCCACTTGGTTTTCAGTGGATTCAGCCGAATGGTTTTTTTGTATTATTATTATTATTGAGTGTGGACCCACATTTCAGAATATCAATATGTCTGGAAAACTACTGAAATAAACTTTTAAGCCAGGGGTGTCCAAACATATTCATATGTGGGCCAAAGCCTTGAAGTTGAAAGGAGTGGCGAGCCACAAAAAATGTGAATTAAATAAATAAATAATAAAAAAATATACATATTTTTAACTCAGCATAAATATTTTTGCAGAAAGAACAAAATGTATTAATTTTGGTGGCCAAGGTGTTCTAAATGATTGTAGATCCAAAACATTAAATGCTTCATAAACACTAATGTTTTGTTACATTTTTATTTAATTTATTTGATTTGATTGATTTATTGCCAAAAGTTTGTATTAATAAATTTAATATTGCTCATTTTTAGATTATGTTTTTTGTATCCGTTTTGCTGTTAAACCAAAACATTATATAAAAATGATCATTAAATTCAGAAAAGGTCTACAACAATCTCTTAAGCATACGGGCCAAAATTATACCATCCTTAAACTGCAGTTGTGGGCCACACAAAATCACTCCAAGGGCCACAAATGGCCCACGGGCCACACTTTGGACACCCCTGTCTTAAAATGTGTTATTTTTATATATTTCTCGGTAACATTGCACTGAGTTCCTTTACAACGTTTGCTTGATGGATGATAGAAGATGTTTTCTGGTTTACAAAATAAAAAATTTATATTTTGAGTCTAAAACACAACGAGAGCATCTCTGACGTCAGAGCTACATGGCAACACGTGGAGCACACCTCAACAGACCTTTAACGTATCTGTTTTAAAATGTAGTGTGTTGTTTCATACCTAAATTCCCAAGATGCGTTTGTTTAATGTGACGGAGGCTGTTTGTGATGGTAATGTAGGCTTTTCCATCCATTTATATAAAGCTTATGACAGCAGCTCTTCTCTCCAGGCACAAACGTTTAGCTATGCAAATGTTGCTGTGTCTGCGCTTGAAAATCCCCAGAGTTTGGATTTATGCGGGCAGTTCTTTGCGAGCATCTGCCAGCCGCTTTCACATAAGAAATCCTGCACTGTATAATGCTCCAGCCAGCTGTTTCTCTTATTATGACAAATGAGTTATGAAAATGCATTACCAATAAGTGTCTGAACCAGTAAAGCCTGGAGAAAACAAGGGTTTGTGTCAACATTTAGACATTAAATGCAATCGAGTGAAAAATGAGCAGATCTTTATTCTACATGCGCCTCAGGATTCTTTGGATGCACAAATGTTGCAAATTTCCAAAGTGCGACGTTGTTCCGCTGAAACAGTGAGACTAAAGTGAAGAGACAGCGTTAATTAATCCCTTCCCTCACGCAAATCTTTCCAAATCAAGCAGAAAGTTGCACGGATGTCCACGTGTTAAAAATACCTCCTTGGAAACTGCAGCTACTGCCTCAGGAGCCACGCTCTGCAAAGAAAACTCTTCTGAACCCGAGGAAGCAGCGCTTATTTGAGAACAAACTGACCTTTGAAGTAATATAGATTGAAACGCTTCTTTTAAAGAAAAATAAAAGGAATCCTCCTCTTATATTCTAGACAAGCAGCCTTGAACGCTGCTGCCTAAGAGGATCAGAGCTGGAGGCACTAAAAGCTTCACACATGCTTTGCAGAAGCACATCCCCTGTGTTGTCCATCAAAGCAGCTTCCTTCAACATCAGACGTGTTCGTCAGAGCTTTGTTTCCCAACAGATACAGATCAGATACTTGGAGTTTAACAAATCGAACCAGCCTGACGAGCAATGTGGCTCAGGTTGGACATTAAGCGCCTTCTTCGTAGAAGATTAACAGCAAAAATATAAAATGGCCAACAAAAATCAAGGGTCTATGTACTGAACTGACCTTTTTGTTTTCTGTTTATGTGCTTGTCTGTGCGTTTGCATGGCTTGAAATGTCTCCCGCTGCTGACACTAACTTATCCCCACTGAACATCCCCTTTTTCACATGTGCTACACGTTTTTGCCTTCAGGTCTAAAACGACAGCAGATGATGATGATGATGAGCAAAAGGACAGTAAAACTCAGCAGAATCACCCACTTAAATAAATAAAAAAATCCCTACAAGATGCACAAAGTGTTAATGCAGGTTGGATATGATAAAAGCTTTCTGCCTGTCAATCAAATGGTGGAGGCAGGAATAACTAATCAAGAAAACAAATAAAAAATCAAGGTAAAAGTACAGAGCTGGAAAGCGTCAGAGTTCTTACTGTTAGCTGTCAGCAGGACGACAAGCAGCAGACGGTACAGGACGGCTCTCATGGTGCTGTTCGTCTTTGTTCCTCCTGATCACACAATGAAAAGCAGGATGTTTGCGTCTTAACCCCCTAAACCTAATCTGCTTTATCAAACAAGCTAACGTCCACCAGATTATCAGTCCCACCAATGGGGCTCTGGACTCTACAGGTATGCTGATGAACAATTAGACTGAATGGGCAAAAACTGTTGCCATGTTTCACCCTGGACCCCTCACGTCACCGTTTTGTCCAGGTATGAATTATATAGAGGCAGAAACTTTCTATTCAAGATTGTTTCTATGACGGTCTACGAGGTAAAATATTGTGTATTTGTACACAGCTTTTGAAGGAACTCAGCTCAGAGAACAAACCGCAGAACGTCTAGGCTGCTCAAATCCTTCAGTTTCTTCACGAAATCCCAGATGCACTCCATGATTTGGGGATCAGGACTCTGTGCAGCCCCAAACTTGCAAGGATCGTGCAGTTCTTCAGCCCTTTGGCAAACAAACTGCTTTCTACAGCTGCCAGATATTTACATTTTTCACCCGTCATGCAGACTGCAGAGCTCCTTCTGCCTTTTTTCTGCACCCTGGTTTTTAGGGTTTTTTTGTGGAAAGCTGCGTCACAAGGTTTTGCGTTCATGCTGCTGGTTTGGCTGCGGTTCTTCCACATAAATGTCTTTTGGCCAGACTTCTCTGATGGGCGCAGCTGTGTGGAAAAAAACGAAACAACTGGACTTCTTTTGTGAAGAGCAAGACGTTACACTTCCCATCCGGGTGACGTTATCAATTCAAAAATGTCTGCATCAATTTTTGAATTGATAAAGCCTCCTGGATGGTAAACAAAACGTTGTCAGCTTTAGAACAGAAGTCCAGTTGCATTTTTATTTTTTTGATTTTTTTGGATTGCCCATGACCTGGATGGCTGAGAACCTTCACCAGTACCTGTCTTCTGTAAAAAGAGTACATGTTGGAACATCAGTCTGCTTTGATTCTGTTCACTGGTAGATGTCTTGGTGATGTCGTTTGACCACCTTGTGTTGTGTTGTGTTCAGGCCTGCCCTGGTGTGTGACCTGTGAAACTGTGCTCCACAAACGCACCTTTGTAGCAGAGCTCAGCTGTTCCACAGGTTTGAGCTTGTTTCTGTTTCAGGTAATGACTTGTTTCAACCCCCGTATGAAAAATGAATCTCATTAGCACCTGTTGATTGGTTAATCTGATACCTGTCCAAATGTTTTATGAAATATCAAAATCTATGCAAGTGTATCCACTAAATGGATATTACTTTAAAGACAAGTGGTGACGCTTGTTGCTGTCTCTGACGTCACGTCCGCCGCAGAATGGTAGCACTGACAGGAGTATTTTTGAATTGAATTAATTATCAGTTTTTACTTGTCTAATTCCTTATTAATACAACCGCTAGCGAAAATAAATGTTTTTACAAAATTCAAATGTTATTTCTTAATACAAGCTATCATATTTTTACATGTATTTACATTTTATAATAAGGTTTAAAGACTGACAGACTATGAAAGCAAATGAACAAACCAGCAAACACTGGCTCCATTTAATTACACAATAAATACGAGTTTTAATGTTTTCTCTAATCATCTTCATTGCATTTTTAAATTATATAGAAAGCTGAGGTCAGAAATGGGGGATAAAATTGGGAGTTGCATGTTGATACTAATAATTTGAGTTAATAGTTCAGGATCTGTCGCTAATCTTCAATGTTTTTCAAGAAGTTTCAGTCCGTGGCCGCCTTCTTGTGATTCCTCCTTCATAACATGCCAGTGATTTTCAGATCCAGAGTGCAGCCGGGTCAGTCAGGCACTCTGTGTCCTTGAAGCCTCGCTGCTGTAAGTCATGCAGAATGAGGTCTGGCTTTGTCAGGCTGAAATAACTACCTCCTGGGAAAATATGTTGCCTTGATGGATGCATATGTCCCTCCAAAAGTCCAATATACGCCTCTGCATCAATGCAAGTCACCAAGACCCCGAGGACTGAAGCATTCCCATCAGGGATGCTGTTTTTTTTAATTTTATTTAACACCTTGATGGATCTTTCTGGGTTTTATTTCTTTTTTTTTCTTAAGGGTAACACAGAAAATTATGACAAACTAATTAAACTTCTTTGGAAACGAGTCTCATATTTAAGTCTGTGTGTGTCATATGTAAATTAAACAAAGTTTTTATTTTGATACAAATTGAATCTTTCGTTCTAGGATAAATGAGCATATCAAAATGTTTAATTTGGATGTGCAATTCCCCATGTGCCATCATTTGAATCGCATTGTAAAAACATTTTGTTGGACACTGTTAAGTTGAAAAAGGCAAAGAGTGAATCAGAAACTCGTTTAAAGTTGATGGAAAAAAATATCTAGAGAAGTGTAAGAACAGTGAGGTGATAGTCCACCTGTTTTGAGGCAGGGTTCAGTAGAAAGGCCATGAACAATAAGTATCTTACCGGTTGTAGAAAGCCTTTAGAGGAGACGTGGGCAACTGAAGGCCCGAGGGCTAAAAGTGGCCCTTGGAGAATCTCCATCAGGCCCCCAATATCCTTAATAAAAAAAACACAACTTTTTAAATAAAGACTGATTAAAAAAAAAAAGCAATTTATCAACGAGTCTTAGAAACACAAATATACAAGTTTGTCTTGCATATTTTCACTAACAAGTATAACATGTTAATTCAATTCAGTTTATTTATATAGCGCCAAGTCACAATAGAAGTCATCTCAGGGCACTGAACAGAAACATTCATATATAAAAATAATAATTTAACACTATTTATTTGAGGAGCAGCTTTGGGTTTAACTCCATCACAGAACTCTCATCTTGAGCAAGCATGAAGGCGACAGTGGATAGGAAAAACTCCCTCATGAGGAAGAAACCTTTAGCAGAACCAGGCTCAGGACAAGCGATAATCTGCTTCGACCAGCTGGGTTTGAGAAGAACAGATACACAATGGCAGGTGCAGAATCACATGTTAAGATATAAATAGTATCAAATGAAAACTGTTCAGTTTTAACAATTCATTTAAGGAAATGAGGTCAATTTGTCCTCTAGTAGTCTAAACTTATGGCAGCATAACAAACCAACCCTAACTATAGGATTTATCAAAAAAAAAAGAAAGTCTTAAGCCCAGTCTGTAAACTGGACAATGTGTCAGCCTCACGGACAGAAACTGGAAGTTGGTTCCACAAGAGAGGAGCCTGATAACTGGAAGATCTTCCTCCCATTCTGCTTTTGGAAAATCTAGGGACCGGGAGTAAACCTGCAGTCTGAGAGTGAAGTCTGTTAGGAAAATATGGAACAATAAGATCAGTAATATCAGATGGAGCTAGGTTGTTGAGGGCTTTGTAGGTTAGAAGTAAGATTTCAAATTCAATTCTGGATTTAAGCTAACGTGTGTACTATATTGTCACAAGAGCCGTTTTACAGAATATGTCTCATATTCCTAAAGGATACTGGAAAGTCTCTGGGTACTCCCGTTTTCTCCCACAGACCAAAAACATGCATGTTAGGCTGACTGGCAATTGTCTCTAGGTGAGAGTGTGAATAGTGATAGGTGTTCCTGTGTTGGACTTGCGACCTGTCCAGGGTGTCCCCCCGTCTCTCGCACAGTGATGGCTGGATTTGGGCACAAGTGACCCCCGCAACCCATAAAGGAAGAAGCTGGTAAAGATAATGGATGGATGGATAAATGTTTTATAACGTATGCTAATTATGCTACAATAAGAAAAAGCCTGAAAAAAAGTATTCTAGACTGTCTGTCATAAAGAAAAACAACAGGTAATATATTCATTGTTCATACCTTCCAAATAATCCTATTTGTTCAGGCACTGAAAGAATAACGTCAAATGGCTGAAGTCCAGTTAGCTTCGACCTTTTTTAACTAAACAAAACACTAACGGAACAAAGATTCATCTGAAGTACCTCACATAATAAAGGAGCAGGTAAAAAAAAATAATGGAGTAAAGTTTTGTTAAAGATAGAAAAAATGTGAACTTGAAGTTGTATTGCCATTTTTTATTGCACTTTTGGAAGCTGATGCTGTACAGTAGCTGTGCAGGAAAGTTTATTCTCAAGTGACCATTGCAGGACTAGGACACGGTTTTCCAAAATTAATTAAATAAAGTGACAATTAGTTTACGTTTTATCAAAAAAAAAAAAAAACAGTTTCATGAAAAAAGCTACATATGACAAATATCTAAATGGTTACATGAGGGCTTCAGGGTGAGGATGACAGTAATTATATCAAAATGCAGATTTTCTATTTACAAACATTAACATGACAAGTTATTCTTCTTACATGCAAGACTTTATTTGGACTGTTTAAATTTTATTATACGTTTATTGATATTTTATGAATAAATCTACACATCTTTTACATTTTTTCTGTTCCAAAATCTATCTCTGTCTTGAAGTAAGAAGAGACGCTAACAGGAGTGAGTAAACAGTCTTCTCCCTCAGTGGCTGTCATGGCAACATCATAATACATAATTTACCCCACAAACTTCCACGTTCTCATTACCAAACACACACTCACACACACACACTTGTTATTGATATGATAACTTCTCTAAAACTTTACACCAGACCTCTGATACAGTACGACACACTGACACGTCAAAGAAACAGAGAATAAGTAGGATGGTCATTCCTGTGGATCTCGTACAGAGTCAGTAGGACGCAAAACCCCAAGACTTCTTGGGCCTCAGACATCTAGAGCTCTGCAAGCGCTAACTCTTCCCCATCTTGGCTATCAGCTCATCGCAGATCTTCGTCAACTCCTCGATCTCTTTGTTCTGCAAAACAGTTAAAAATCAAATTTACACATTTCTGTTTTAATCAGTATTTTGTGTTTTTTGGGAAAATCCCATACCTTTTGCTCCAAAGTGCGCTCCAAAGAGTCCACCTTCATCTGCTCCTTCCTCAGACTGGCCTGGTAGGCGGCCTGCTCCTGCTTGGACTTGACTCGTACCTGGGCGATCTCCGAGTTGGCCCTGGAGACACAAAACATCCGTCAGGTCTTCCCGTGGTACTCGAGAATATTAAGTCTGAAGAAAAATGAAGGTCAGTCTTACAAAGTTAAAACAGATTTTATCTTTATATGTTTAAAAAAACAACTAAAAGCATAAAATCCATTGATAAAATGCTTAAGGAGTTCTAGCTAGGCCTGTCACGATAACAAAATTTGGTGGGCGATTAATTGTCTCAGAAATTATTGTGATAAATGATATCATTGTTTGAAATTTGTCAATAATTAGTAATTATCGTCAAATTTAAGAAGAAATGTTGGTTAATTTGTTTTGCATGTAGTATCTTTTTTCAACCACCAGATGGCAGTATAAGACTGTTTGAAGCGAAGGATGGATAGTGAGGGAGCGAGCTGCGTCTCTTTAAGAAAAACGGGAGGGAGGCCCCTTGACGTGACATGGGCTGTTTCTCTTCAGTTCTCAAAATGGCGGACACTCGGTGTGGTTTGAGCTCTTTAGCATAGCATTTTTCACACAAAGCTTTTAATTTAAAAAAAATCAGTAAACAAGTTCTCAACTTCTTTTTGCAGAGAAAAACTTTTTACACAAAAGCACGGGTTTCAACCGTGAATTTTGGAGCCTCTACAAGACGGAGGTTTTTTCCCGAGGTCGGCCTGTTAGCTTAGCTCGTAGCTTAGCTTCTCAACTTAGCTGCTTTTAACGATCCAAAAACGTAATTTTGAACGATTAAAATAGATTTTAAAGAGAAAGGTCAGTGAAGAACGCCGGAGTTGAGCCTTTTGTCATCCAGTGTCTTCAGTAGAAAGAGAGAGACGAAGAAATGATAAAGCCGATAAATGAAAATGAGGTTGATAAATTTCATTTATTATGCGATTAATTGATTTATTGTTTATCTCGACAGGCCATTTTGGTCAAACCTTGAAAATAACGTTGTATACAATTTTGTGAAATATTACTATGTTTTGCGGACTATACGGCGCATTAAGCAAAACACAACAGTCAGATAAGTCAAACTTTATTCATCTCATTCACGATAACCACATAAAATTGGTTCAATGTCAGTAAGCACAACCAGAATTAATACATAAGGTGCACCGGATTATAAAGTTCACTGTTGATTTTCGATAAAATTAAAGGATTTTAAGTGCACCTTATAGTCTGAAAAATACGGTACAAAACGTTACGCTCAAAGTATACATGATTATATATATCATAAGTTAATCTTAGCTACTTTTACATCAAATTTTAGCTCATTATCTATAAAACTGAGTTATACCCATATCTGTGTAGCTAATCTTGATTAGCCGAGTCGAATCCGATGACTAATTTTTAAAACTTTAATAAAAATCTGTCCAGTAGTTCATGATATTTTGCTAACAGACAAGCAGGGTTAACTCAAACAGTTAAATTCAAAGTTGTATACAAAGATGTTGTGCAATGAGTAGCACTTAAAGAGTTTGTGTTGGGGATCAGTCTCAGCTACTACAGCACTTATAAACAGTACTCCATGAGATATTTTGCTAACAGGCACAAATGCAGCTGGAAAAAGATGAAAGGTGGGCCATAAAAAGTGTATTACTTTGACCCATTTTTATAATTATTCCAGATTAATGTTAAGTTCCTGCGTTACTGTTTTAAAATGCACAATATAAGGAAAGAATGTCTAACTCACTTGTCTAGTTTCTCCTCTGCGTGGATCTTCAAGGCTTGATACCGCTGCTCCTCCTTTCGTACCCTCGACAGATACTCCTGAGCGCACTTCTTCAACACATCTTCATTCTAAGGCGGGTGAGAAATATTTCAAACCACCTGCCTTTAACAGACTTTTAGTCATTTGTTTGTTACCTTGCGGAAGCCCTCCAGCACATCTTTCATCTTCTCGTATCGACGGAAGAGGTCTGCCAGAGACTTTTCCACCGAGTTGAGGTCGGCCAACGCCTGGTCCTTCTCCAGGATGAGCTGTTGGATGGTGTGATGGGACAGAGACTTCTCCTTCTGGTCGTCCTCTGGCGGACAGACACGAGCATTTTGTAAATCACTGCTCTGTTTTACTAAAGGACTGTAAACAGCTGTGAACATCTACACAACTTTGTTACGTTGACAATTCAAAATGGATTAGTTGTCTGTAATGGTCTAATATTTTCTACTAAACAATATGATCTTTACTTTTGCATGCAAACACAGATGTTGAGCAATGAGGGAATTAAAGGCCTAGCATTCCTTCAAAGAATGCTCATCACCCAACACCTTGTATAACAGAGTTGTACCCTTACAGCTAGCATAAAATACATATAATCTTATCCAGTATTGTGAGATATTACAAGATGATGTATTCAGAATGGATTAAGGGTGACTGTCAGCTAATTGCACATCAACTTTACCTCAGTATATGTAAAACTGACTGAGTTAGCTAAGGTTGGGCTGTGGTGACCATCTAGAATAATGTTAACTCCACATGATAAGTTGTAGAATCTATCCAATGATTAAGTTTTCAGAGTTTCAATCATTAAGAGTTTGATGTTACAGAGATGGAACGAGCTGGTGGTTCAAACTTTTTCTTGATTTTCTTTAATTTAATTACCGTATTTTTCGGACTATAAGCTGCACCTAAAATCCTTTAATTTTCTCAAAAATCTACAGTGAGCCTTATAATCTGGTGTGCCTTATGTATTAATTCTGGTTGTGCTTACTGACCTTGAACCAATTTTATGTGGTACACGGTGCTCAAAAATGTGTATTGTTTTGTATTTTATGTGTTACAACTAGGGATGCACGATATTGGATTTTTGGCCGATATTCGATATGCTGATATGTTGAAACTTGTTTGGCCGATAACCGATATCAATACCGATTTTTTTTTTCTTCCTAGAATAAACTACATAGCTTTCTCTGCTATGGAAAATTTTAAAGCTGAACATCCAAAAGTTTATTACAAAAGAATCTTCCAAGCTTATTTTGGTAACAAAAATGAAACCGGGATGGAGGAAGATGAAGGTTTTAAATTTGTTTTCAGCAAAAATCTCCACCCTGACATACAAACGTCAGTGCAAATGATGGCAAATTACAGAGAAAAATCCATCAGTGAGATTAAACAGTGCGCTGTGAACGTGTTTGAGGCACGTTGTCATGCCAAGACGCCCATAGAAGTGTTTCCTGGTGTAAAGGTTAAACCCCACTCCCTAGAATTAGAAGGAAGGCGTTCATCGCCACCCCCTCCTAAAAAAGGAGAAAAAAGGCAGTATTTTCAGACTAACAAACCGCATCATGAAGGTGCACGCTGGGACAAAAAAGGCTCCTCCTTCAGAGGACGAACGTGATTATCGTAAATGGGACCAGCGGAGGACGCAAAAAATTGGGAACCGAGAGGAACCCCAAAAAGACGTACCTAGCCGCCCCCCACCTCGGACGAAACGTCCAGAGGCGAAAAAATCACAAAAATCCCAGAAAAAAGGCCCTCTACCTCTGAGCTCGGAAGAGACAGAAAAATTGCGTGAAATGTTAGAAGACTTGAAACACACTGACAAGGGAAGCCGACCAAAAGCACTATGCAGTGAGATACTCACTACTACATCTCTGGGCGCGAATGACAACACTACAGATGTCGGTGAAACACACCAAGACGTTGCTGTTGTTGCCTCAAACAACCCCTCATCGGATGAAAGGGGGGTAATCACACACACAAACGATGACGAGTCATCGCAAGCTGAACACGCAGAAACAGCTACAGCTGTGCTGACGGTTCAGACAAACCAAGATTACACAAGCACTTCTGAACGCATGAAAAAACGTCAGAAAAAACCCAAGAGGTTTCTGTGTAACTTTATCAGAAAGGGGGCCGCCAAAAAGGCGTACCTGTCAGTAACACTCGAAGGTGTCCTCACACACGAAGCACTCCTGGACGGTGGGGCAGACATAACAATTATGTCAGCTAAACTGTTCGAGGAGCTGAGGACAGCCGCAGCCGAGAAAAACAGGATAATACCTCTATCTGATTGTGCTATAGAAATGCAGGGTCTCTCGGAGAATAAAACAACCCTGACAGCTAAAGCAATGGTTCACATGCAGATTGGCAATATGACACTGTACCACCCGGTACACGTGACCCATGTTGACTCATTCCCATTTTTGGTTGGCCAGGATTTTATAAATCGCTTTAACGCGATTATAGATTATGGTGATCAAACAATGTGGACAACAGTGAGCAAACCACTGCCAATAGAAACGCCTCCGGAGTGTGACACAGACTGCCCAACAGCAGGTACCGCGGAAGGCACAAAGGACTCCTCAGCCGAGGACACGAGCCCGGTGAGTACTCCTCTGACACCATGTGAAACCAAAGAAACCCAAGAGGTCCAAGCTCTGACTCAACAAGACAGCCTCCTCTGTGAGCTGGAGCAGCCAGAGTCCACCAAACACTACCTACCACTGGTAGTTAAGGGTGTAGAGATCCAAGGGTCCCACACCAACGATGCTGTACTGTCTCTGTGGACAGATAAATCAGCAATTAACCGAGCTTTCTACGAAACCTTGGTCCACAAACACGTTGGTCTAGAACTAATAAAAAAAGCTTTCCGCTTTCCATTAGTTCCCAATAGTTCACAGGTAATGACCGCAGAAGGAGTCATTAACCTAAAACTGAACTGGAATCAACGAGAACTGGTTCACCCATTTCTCGTTATCCAAAACTTACCACATGCATCCTATATAGGCTCTGACATTCTGGTAAGGTTGGGTGTCCACGTGGACACCATCAACAAGGTGCTGTGGTCCCTGAAACCAGCCACAAAGAATCCTCCTGTGCTAGACACAGCGAGCCTTAAGGCTGGGCAGACCATTCCAGAGGCCTGCCAGGTTGCTAGCAACCAAGACACCACAGTACCATCTCAGGTGATTAACCTAATGGTGCGAATCCACATAATAGCTGGACAAGCTATTAGCCATAAACAGGCATATTTTCAACCCTCTCCTGCATTTTTCAACTTGGGACTGTCCGTGGAAGCCACGAACCAGGTGAGTCTTGACTCCAGGACCACATCTATTGCTGTGTGTAACACAGGCATGGATGAGGTGCTGATCCCAAAAAACACTATGCTAGGATGGTTGATTTCAACCGACTTTCATGATTTTGAACTAGGTATTCCATTTCTGGGAGGACTCCCAGACAATCTGGTACCGAGTCAAGAAGCTGGGCCAGTATGGTTCACAAAACCAACACAGGCCATAGCTCTTTTCTCAACCGATGATGTCGACCAAGGACCTCAAACCTATGGTGTTCTACCCATAGACAGGCCCGACGACTCAGAAAGGGATTCGATGGAGCTCCCCAAGGAGCAAGAACCCTTATCAGTCTCATCACAGATCGATCAGGTGGTCGCACAAGCCGACGCTCTGACATCTGATGAAGAAAGAGACAAACTACGCCAAGTTCTTCTAAAATATGAAAAGTCATTCTCAACTGATTCAACAGATTGTGGGTTGACCTCACTCCACGCAGTGAGAATTCCAACCCCACCCAACGCACCGCCAACATTTGTCAGACAATACAAGATCCCTCTGGCGGCACACCAGCCTGTCCAGGAGATCATTGATGACCTTTTGGTCAAAGGTATAATCAGACAATGTAATAGCACCTACTCTGCGCCTCTATGGCCAGTTTTAAAACCAAATGGTAAGTGGAGACTTACCATAGACTACAGGAAGCTAAATAAACAAGTACCTTTATCCAGGTGGCCAATGACTCAGCTCCATCAGGAACTGCCAAAGGTCACCGATGGTAAGTACTTCTCGACCCTCGATGTCGCCTCTGGTTTTTGGACCATCCCTGTGCGCGCCGAGGACCAACACAAACTAGCTTTCACTTTTGGCAGCCGACAATACACCTTTACCAGGTGTCCCTTTGGCTACGCTAACTCACCTGCAGAGTTCAACATCTTTTTGAACAAAGCATGTCCAGACGCCCACGAGCGTGGGACACTGATCTACGTGGACGACATCCTTTTGAGACAACCGACACTGGACTCTCATTTGGCTGAGATCGACCACGTCCTAAATCAGCTAACAACTGCTGGTGCTAAAATCTCACTGTCAAAGTGCCAGTGGTGCAGAACCAAAGTGGACTACGTTGGCCTCTTAGTAGGTCCAGACGGAGTACAACCACAGTTGACTCGCACCCAAGGCCTAAACAACCTCAAAGTCCCAACCAATCTCAAAGAACTACAAAGTTTCTTGGGAGTGTGTAACTACTCTCGCCAGTTCATAGAGCATTATGCGGATCTCGCAAAACCACTAACTGAACTCTTAAAGAAAGACGTTCCTTTTGTCTGGACTGATACACAACAGCAGGCAATGAACGCTCTCAAAGACAGGCTCAAGCTAGCCCCATGTCTAGTCTACCCAGACTACAACAAAGAGTTCTACTTGGAAGTGGGCTTCTCAACTTACTGCATGAGTGCAGGTCTGTACCAAATACACGACAAAGACAGGCGTGTGGTGGCCTACGCCAGCAAAACAATGGCAGGCCCTGAATTACGGTATTCAGACTGTGAGAAGGCTCTATTGACCACTGTGTGGGCAGTGAAACATTTCTCCTGCTATATTGGTGGACAGAGGATTATTGTTGAGACACAACACCAGCCAGTAACGTTTCTGAACAGCCAACGCATCAGAGATGGTGTGGTGACAAACTCACGCGTTGCAACATGGCTAATGGCACTTCAAAGTTTTAACCTAGACATCCGCTATGGTCAAAATAAGAAGTCGCACTTGGGCACTGATTTGGCAATCTGCCAAGAATGTACACAGGATGTACCAGCCACCCAACAGCCGGTTGTGAGCAAACCCTCAGCTGCTGAGGACCCAAATCACCACTTCTTTGATAGCAATATCTGCAAAGATATGGCAACAATGTACGTGGATGGATGCTCATTCCACCACGAGACAATCTGCAAAGCAGGTGCTGGAGGAGTACTCCTCCAGGACCAAGAACAGGTCACATTTGGCTATAAAT